ATGTCGCGATGTACCACACGAGCCTTGGTGTGGAGGTGGTGAATCGCATTGGCTACTTGCACGAAAATGCTGCGGCATTCAGACTCGTCCATGTTGGTTCGGAGTTCGATGTAGTCAAAGAGATCCATGCCTGGCAGACCATGAGGAATCATCTCGATATAGTAGTTCACGTCATCCTCAAAGAATCCTTGCATCTCGACGATGTTGGGATGAAGTAGCTCAGGTTTGCGAAGGTACTCCAAGACATGAACTTCTAGGGGCACAGTGCCCAGCTTTCGGTCTCTAGTCCACGTATCGACAAGAATACGTCGCTTGGTAACGTACTTGAGCACAATCTTCTTGCCAGTTTGTTTGTGCCTGGCTAGCTTCACTTGGCCATACGCACCCTGGCCCATTTCCTCCAATATCACATAGTCGTTGATCGTTTTCTTATGGGGAGGCTCGACGACCTTGGGAACTGGGGTGGCCTCTTCAGGCTTGGGCTTTGGTTGCTGCCCCGTGATTTTAGCAGCAGCATTCATGGCAGCATCCTTTAAATGCTTGGACAGTGAACTTGCAGCAATCAGCACATTCTTTCGAGGCCCCTCGTCATCTGAAGCAATCTCAAGAGGCGTATGTGCAGGGGTCTGTCCAGGTGATGGCTGGTGGAGAGGAGTTAAAGCTCCAGCCCGGGTAGGGGTTTCGAGCCCGAGGTGAGACTGAGTGCCGTGGAGATGGCGAGAGTAAGTAATCCACAAAGCATACACTATTTCTGAATGGGTCACTTCGAAGGCTTCGTCTCCGGTTGCGTTGTCCTCATCGCTGCCTTCGAAAACAGTCTCGTTCATCACAACGGTCTTCTTTTCACTCTTGACTACACGCATCTGGACGTCAACCTTCAGATCGGACCCGTCACGATGTTTGGCGCTTAATCCAGCGGGATGGAGGAAAGCAGATGCAGCGTCAGGCCTGTGCTCTTTCAAGGCCAGGAAAGCCGAAGCTTTCCTGAAACGATGTTCAGGAACAACCATACCGTCGAGGAGTTGTATACCATCCTCTTCTATCAGTGACCTCAGGATGTTGTCGAATTCTGGGATTAGTGCATTTATCGACATGCCATCAGCCTTTTCGAATCCGAAGAGTGCGCCGCAAAAGGCTGCGTTTGAGCTTCGAATCTTAAGGGTTTCTGGCTCTACCACGACAATTCCAGCCATGTGAGGGAACGTCGAGACACGAAGCTCTAGCTTGCCACGGGTTTGCTCAACTGTGCAAGGCACGTTGACTTGGGGAGAATGAGGACAGGTGAAATATCTCCGCCTCGAAACCTGAGCAAAGTCGATTTCTCCTGTGTTGGGGTCAATCCCTTGACGGGGAATTCGTGGAACGAGTCTCGCTATATCAAATCCAGGAGGGATTGACTCGAACCCCCAGATGGGAGCAGTAGATCCGGTGACCTGTTGAACGATGCCGTCCTCGTCCAATGTAATGTAGGCGACGTCCTCATGAATCTCTTCCAAAACCCAGATCAACCCGACCTTCTTCTCTTTGACCCACAGACTAGCAGAACCGGTCGCACCGTTGCGTTTCTGAATGGGGACCACGTCTCCGCATAACAGCACTCCTCTAGAGGAATTCGTCTGATTATGCCCGCCGCCCCGGGTTTTGGGGGGGCTTGGGTCGCCGCTGTGAACCGTCTGCGCACGTCTTTGTGTATAACTTCGTGGCTGTGTCCTCGAATTTGGCTTGCTTAGGAGCTGGGCTGTTATTCCAGATCTCCCATTAAGCAGTGCCGAAGCTGCTGAAGCTGCAGGTGTTGTTTGGCCCGAGGGCGGTTGGCTTTCACTAAGCTCATCATCTGCTTGTTTCAAGAGTTTTCGTTCCAGCCATGACCTTCTCTCCTCCTGTACAACTTCCAAGATGCCCATCTTGCGCACCTCAGCTTTTGTAACGCCAAACACCAGGCAGGCGAGATCGTTTGCTGCAATAATGGTCCATGGAGGCCTAACTTCTGTTGTAAAGATCGCCTGAGCAGCGGGTACCCAGCGGTTTGTGTGTCCATGTACAGAAGGGCCTAACTGGGTGGGGAAACTGGTCGCTGTGGCGCTGGGGAGTTGAGTCAAGGATGGAGAGTTTAATGGTTCTTGATAAATGGGCTGGCCAGTTAAGAAAGGCTGCGAAACTGTATCTATAAGCTTATCTTGAGCCGACACGGCCGTTATATCTGTCATTGTTCGCTTTAGGCTCAGCGTCGGACGGACTGGGGCAGGTTTCGAGCCTGAAGTGCCACCTCCACTAGCAGCAGCTGTAGTTGATTGATCCTGAACGTGGGTAGTCTCATGGGCTGCTGGCTCGAGTGGAATGGATCTTCTTGTAGTCCCAACCCTTGACCGTCGAGGTGGTGGCGAGGACTGGCGAGGACTGATGAGATCTGTACTGGATGCTCGAGGATCAAAATTCTTGTCGAAGACATTTTCCTGGACCTCAGCGGGACCGGTCAGAGGAGCCGGGGCGTAAGAATCGTCGGGGTTTGGCAAGTTTGGAGCTCTAATTAGCTGTGCCTGCGCGAGTAGGTCAAGCATGTTCTGTGTCTCGACATCACCACTTACTCTTGCCTGGGCACTTGCAAGAGCAGCCTGCGACGAGTTCATAGGAAGACCCATGTGGTCCTTCATGAACTCAACGGACCGTTTGAGGGCATTTTGTCGGTTGTGCAAAAAGTCCTCGGACTGATTGGCGAACGAGAAAGAATGCAAAGACTCGGAGGGGAAGCGAGAAAGGTCGTCGGAGAAGCTGGGATTTGATGGACCACCAGTGAGCGACAAGTTGCCGGTGCTGGCGGCCATCGCACTCATCGAAGTGGAACGAGACAGGGCGGCAACGGATGGGCTTCGCGAAGATGCTCGGGATCCTGGTAAAGTAGGGTTCCTGGATGGTGGGCGTGTTTGTCTAATTCGTCGGAGGCCGGACAGGCCTAGGCCATGCTCGTGATCGGTCATGATGGGAGACCTGGAGTTGATATGGTGGTCAGCAAGGAAGCAGGCCGAGGGGTGGGCGCCACAGCTGGGCTCCGTGACGCATGATTTCACTCGACATACCTGGCGATAGCTTCAAGGTCAGCGGCAGCGGCCGCGGCCGCGGACGCATCCAGGGACATGCGTGCTCTGCTTCGATCTTGCGTTGACGAGTTCCTTGCGGCAGCCAAATTTCCCGTACTACGGTTCTTTGGCAACGAGAGGGGCATTGGCAGCTTCTCTCGTCCACGTTCATCATCCCCAGTGTGATTTTCGGCTCCTGTGTCAAGAAACCCTGGTTAGCTGACAGGAGGACACAGACCAAGAGTAGTGGCAGGTTGCAGGTAGTACCATGATCATTTTGTCCCCCATGCATCTGTAGCATAGTTGGAGTCGGTCAAGGAGAGGCCAAAACCACAGGTCAAGTCGTGATGGAAGGGTTATGAGGTTTGCTCTCAGGATGGCGGGGTTGAGCAGGAAATCTCGGTTGGCTCGATTGCCTGGAATTCGAATGAAAACTTGAAACCAGCCGTCAGATAGGAGAGGGATTCGTTTATCCAAAAGAAGAAAAAAGAATGGATAGATGATAGACCAAGATGCGTATGGGTGTAATTTGAATTATCGATATTCCAAGATTGGGCCTTGAAGGGTGACGACGGACGAGACCGGGGATGGGGCCGTATTGTCAGGGCTATGTCTTGGCTTGTGACCCAAAACACAAAGAAAGCAGCCCGGTCAGCGTGAGTCGAAGGAAATGCCGAGAGGGCGAATTGAGCGTGTACCGCAGGGGATGGAAAATTATAGGTAAGGAAATAGGTTAACGTTGGTGGTGCACGTTTAAAAACTTGTTACCACTAAGAGAAAGTTTTGACTGTCGAGATAGGAGCTTTCAGAAGAGCCTGAGAGATTGATGTTGAGGAGCATGAAGGGGACGGGATTTGCGTCGTTATCATAGGCTGCTCCCAAGACAAGACTTGTGAAGTCATCAGACAATCCGATTGGCAGCCCAGTGGTTGCTGGTAGATACTTAGTGCTTGCTTGACCCTGGAAGACCCCCAAGATACAGGCAGCATCCATTGGATGGAGGATGGCAATCGTACATAGGCAGTACCTAACAAGCTCAAGCTCAAGCTTTCTAACCGTTGTGACATTGGCTGTACAGTATTGAGCTACATTTACTGCCAGGCAAATGACGCCAGCATCCTTTTTCCTATTTCTTTGGCTTCAACACAATCTGAATGTCAGATGAGATCGTATTTCTAGATGCACGAACGCGTTGAGTGTCGGCTTGTAAACAAACCAGACTACGGGCTTTTAATTGGAGTTGTTTTCATATGAGACAATCAACTCGTTCGCCACAATCTTGCGTGCAGGTTTATTCCCATTGGGGATCCAGTACAGCAGATCTTCAATCTCTCACTGAAGCCATCAACCATACCTTAGAGCTTAGTTACTCCTAGCAATGAAGAAGGAATCGAGACGTGGGGAAAATATAAATGAAATTTGGCTCTGCTGCGCACCAAGGGCCAAGTCAATGCAAGAGGCATTTGAATCAAGGGACCAGCACCTTATAACCAAGAATACCACCCCTTGTTACCCAGGGTGACTGAGAACCAAGATTCCATGCCTTGCACAAACCTTAATTCACATTGGATCCATGCTGATTGACAGATAGATGTTGTTCGTAGGTCTGTCACCTTCAAGACAGCGAAGATGCCACTTGATTTACGCGTCAACCAAGCAGCTCTCTCCAAGCCACACCACAGTAAAGTGGCAGAGGCGAAAAAGCATATAGTCCCAGAACCTTATGGTTTCCTTTGGTTTTGAGGTCCACGTGGAGAGGAGCTCTTATAGAGGGATGAGATATTCCCCGCCAATGGACGTGTCCAAATATCATGCCAAGCATCCGTGAGCCTCTTGAACGGAATCGTGTTCACGACGGCAGCTCCCCCTAGACAAATGTGCGATGGAGACAAAAGAGGTTGCATGTTTCTTTGCACAGAGTTCACAATGGCTACTAAGGGTGCCAAACCTAAGCTTATTGCCTATCTGATGTTTTTGCTTGGATTGGTTGCGATGTAAAACGGGTGAAACTGTTTCAGCGGTACTGGATATTATATGGCTTTGATAATCCGAGGTAATCTGGCTCACCAGAAAAAGGGTTGTTTCTGTGTCTCGCTGCAAATGTTGGCCGTCGTTAGAACAACTTGCTTGACTTCCATACCTACACCATCGGCATTTTCATGTATGACCGAGTCAGACGATCAGCTCAAGAGGTCAGGCCAACAGTCATGTCTTATATGGCACGGCACACACAATACCAGGGTCTGCAACCACGCGACACTGACTGGCAAGACGCCGCGCATGAAGAATATTGCATCGATTGCCATGTCTTTGATAGACGACCTAGATATCCTATCACGACAACAGATGATCACCGCTGTGTTATCTCTCCACCTGAGACGGACGGGCAGAAATGACACCTGGTGACCTCAATAGTGCATTACCAGCCCTACCAAGAGGCACATGGGCGATCTAAGATACTGCGCATTTTGACACAACCGCATTAACCTTCGTTTGCAATAAGGTCCCAAAGTGTATCGTGACGAGACACCCACCCTATAAGGTAGAGTAAATTCTGAACCTGATGCCTCCAAATCGCACCGATAAGAAATCGGGCGATAACAGCCCGAACAGCGCGGGGTCTTGGAAGATGAGGGGCAGAGCATTCTTCCTGGGCTCTTCCCCAGGCCTCCAGAGACGAAGCTGAAAGAGGAAAGAAACAAGACAGAGACGTTGAATCCATCAGCACATAAAGTTAGTGCCTAGGTACTTACTTAGTAGGTGTAGGTTAGTAGAGATAGTCTAGATGAGAAAGATGTCTAGGATGTATAGTTAACTATTGGAAAAATGTACAGGCTAATCTATATAAGTATGTATTTTGTTGAGAGTGCCTTTAGTACCTCGTGTACCTGCAAATATTCCCTCAGTTGCCATCCATTTGTTCTGACCGCCTTCCAGAACCAACCTAGGGACATGCGGAGAAAGTTGACTCCTCATGGTTGGGTCCGGGGCAAGCAGTCAGCTCAAAGAGGCTGGACCCTTGAGTCAGGGACGTTTTGGCATCGTGGGCTCGACGTGCAGTAGTCAGAGGCAAGGTACATACACACATACATGTGGTGAGAAACGGCGGGTAACCCTTTGGAGTAATGATGGGTCTTTTGTGCCTCTGGCTCTATTATATGTACTGCTAAAAGTTGATCAAGTTCACACCTGGTACATAGAACAGCTCGCCCTAGGGTTATGACTGATACGAAAGTCAATCGATCAAATCATATCAGAGCCACACTCAAAGTCTTATCATGAGAAGTCAATGGGCCTCAGTGTTATTTAAAAAAAAAAATAAAGGTCTCAACGAGAGATAAAATGTGCCACGCGGACACACGAGAGAAACTGACTTGTTTCTCGTCCCCGGGTTTGGTTTGGCTCGGGTGAGATGCCTAGGATGCATAAAGGATGGGCGAGAGGGTGGGGAGAGCTGCACGCCAACAAGACCCTCAAAAAGCCCCTGAAGAAAGCGACAGTGGTAGTGATTGGCTTATGTTCCGGATCACCGTCCCGTTGGGTCTCTGGCACCCAGAATCCGGGCTTGTCTAACTGGGTATCTCAGTACGTACTGCTCAAGAGGACTTGGCTCCTTTTGCTTTTGCTTATGTTTGCGCTTTTGCTCTGAGTAAGGTAGCTTTGTGTTTGCCCCGCGATGTAGGTCTCAGGGTCTCATTCCAACCAGGGTTCGCCGAAAGGCTACAACGTTGACTACCACATCGATACAAGATATAGCGCCCAGAATTCCGCCATCCGAGCCACCCCACCAGAAAGAGTCGCGTAAAGCCGATCGCCTCGCCGTAGCCCGCACGATAAGAAGAGAATAGGGGGGGGGGGGGGTTAGCGTGGCATAGCATGGCCCAGAGCCCGGGAACGGAGGGTCCTCAACCGACCAACTGCACCTACATACATAGGTAGGTGGGTAGTGTGTCGTGTACTATACTGTAAGGTACTGAGTGTATGGACTGTAGAGGTTGGGTTGAGTTGGTACTCCAAAACTCTATGGGATCTAGACAGTATGTGGATGTAACTATTGAACTGACGGGTAATGTTCTAGAGCATCCATCTCTGGACTAAAGCCTCAACTGCCTGCGACGTGCCTTGTTGCTTTCTTTTCTTATTTTGTGTTCCCATCCCTCTCCTTTCCCTCTCTCTCCTCTGGTGATCACCTCATACCCACGGTCATGTTCATCTCCTCACGGGCATGTGCCCTGTTCTCCAACTTCAACTAGAAAACAAGACTCGATCCTATTGGAAAACTTCCTCGCTTCAAGGAGAAGCCCAGTACGACGAAACGGCCCCGCTGACCACCCCCCACCACCCTCTCCGAATCCCCCGTTTGTCTGCTGATCCCCTCGGTTTCCCAGCAGAACATTGGACCCTGCTTATTTCTTCTGCCGTCCTTCTTCGCGACATTTTTTTTCTCTTACTTTGAAACTTGTTTCTTTTCTTATTTCACCATTCTCCTACTCTCATCCATCAGTTTTACTCCCAGCTCCTATCGATATACATCCTTCCTCCGCCAGCGATGAAATAAAGGACCCTGCATTAGCTGTAAGCGACCAGCGACCAAGGCTCCAAGCCGCCCCCACTATCGACCGACCGACTTGAATCAGACAATCATCTTCAATTGTTCGCAGCAGGTGTTATTCCGTCTGTCTCTTTCATACCACATCTGTGATAGTAGACATCTCGCGCTCTATACAGTACAAGAACATACAAGCAAGCCTCCAACACAATTGGAATTTCTTGTCATGGAGGTCCACGAGATAACACCCGGCGCTCCGAGCCCGAGCCCGAGCCCGAACCCGGGCCCAGAAGGCGTATCCACTGCGCCAGCGCCGGACATGCCGGTCAAGGGCAAGAGCCGACACCGTCTGATCCAGCGAATCCAGCGAATATCTTCAACGCCTTCATTGAGTGGTCTGCGTCGCTCCAGGTCGGTTGGAAGCCGTGGGAGTCCTTACAGCACTCGAAGCACTCTCTCGTGTGTCAGTCTTGCGGCCACTGGACCACCTCAGACCCCCTACAGCGCCCGCTCATCGACCCCACAGCCCTCGCCTCTTGGTCTACCCAGCGCTTTGAGCTCAACCCCCCAATCTTCAGGGGAGTTTCCGTTCGACACTCCTGATGGTTATTTGGCCATTCGTAGGGTCGAGAATGCGACTCCAACCACCACTCCTGGGACCGCCCCCCTCCCATCCGAGTTTCGGTCTAAGCAGGACGTACAGATTCGAACCCGACCTGGTGTAAAGCCTATTCAGAAGCAACCATTCCGTTTTTGGGACAAGATGCCCAATGAGCTTCAGATTCACATCTTCTCTTTCTTCCAGCCAAGAGAACTCGTCCAGGCATCTCGAGTATCCAAGGCCTTTTACAAGGCCTGCTTTGACGGTCAGCTGTGGACGTCCCTTGATGCTTCGGAATTCTATCGCGAGATTCCAGCCGAATCTCTCGCCAGGATTATTGTTGCGGCTGGTCCCTTCATCAAGGATCTCAACCTACGAGGCTGCGTGCAGGTCGAACACTACAAACGCACCGAGGTCATTGTAAAGGCATGCAAGAACCTCATGAACGCAACCCTGGAAGGTTGCCAAAATTTCCAAAAGAGCACGCTGCATAGCTTGCTACGGAACAACGAGAAGCTTGTTAGCCTCAATCTCACGGGGCTGACTGCGGTCTCAAACACATCCTGCAAGATCATTGCCGAGTCCTGCCCTCAGCTTGAGACCTTCAATATTTCCTGGTGCGGCAGGGTTGATGCTCGAGGCGTCAAGGCAGTTGTAGAGGCTTGCCCGAGATTGAGGGATCTTCGGGCCGGTGAAGTTGGAGGATTCGACAATGTGGCGACTGCCGAGGCTATTTTCAACACAAACAACCTGGAGAGGTTGGTTCTGAGCGGGTGCGCCGAACTCAATGACGAGGCCCTCCAGATTATGATGCACGGTGTCGAGCCTGAAATCGATATCCTGTCTGAACGGCCCATTGTGCCAGCCCGCAAACTTCGTCACCTCGACTTAAGCCGCTGTGTCCGACTCACAGATGCAGGCGTGAAGGCGATCGGTCATCTTGTGCCTGACCTTGAGGGTCTGCAGCTCTCAGGCTGCAAGCTGTTGAATGACGACGCTCTCGAGTCCATTCTCGCTTCCACACCTCGGTTGACACACCTCGAACTCGAGGACCTCGAAAACCTCACCAATTCTATCCTGTCAGAGCATCTTGCCAAAGCTCCTTGTGCATCTTCGATAGAGCATCTTTCTCTTAGCTACTGCGAAAACTTGGGCGACACTGGGATGATTCCGGTTATGCAAACCTGCACGAACCTTCAGAACGTCGACCTTGACAACACTCGAGTCAGCGACCTTGTCCTCGCCGAAGCAGCCGCAATGGTCATGAAACGCTCTCGACGATCTATCGAAACGGGAACACGACCGAGACTGTCCCTCCAAATGGTCGTTTACGATTGTCAAAACGTGACCTGGACAGGTGTCCGTGAGGTCCTCTTCCGCAACACACAAGTCAAAGCTGTATCAGGCCAACCTGGCCGAGTGAGCTACCCAACCGAGATGATAGGGCTTAAGTGCTTCTATGGCTTCCAGATGACCGTTGATGAGCATCAGAAGCGAGTCCTGCGTGGTGATCTTGCGTCCGCCGGTCGCCTGGAGAGGAAATGGGCAGACTACATGCAAGCCACAGAAGAAGCAGGCATGACAGGTGCAGGCTACCGAAGACGCAGGCGTCGAGCCAGAGAAGCCCAGGCCCTCCATTTAGACGAAGAGGATGGTGGTTTCGGTCCTACCGGCCGTCGGAGGGCACGCACCCTGGGCTCATGCGCTGTCATGTAGGCCTTGAATACGGTATATTAAGTGAATGCGCGACAATATACAGCAGAACGTTTTACGAATATGTTGGGACTTTTTTTATATTCTTCTTGTCCTCAAGGCGTCTTGGGGTTTGGCTAAACGGATAGGTGTTTATTTGGAGGGGACTGCTCGCCTTCTTGTTCTTAATGGCGTTATGGTAGATCACGGCGTTCTCTTTACCGTGGCGGTCCTTTTGCCACGAGGGTGGCATGCATTTCAGCGCATCAAGCATATTGAACGACGTTGTGCATATATGTCTAGACAGTCAAATACAATGAACGTAGATTCGAAACCAACATCTGCAGACACCTTGGTACGCTTCTCGAAATCTCGCGTCGAGGTTAGAACATTTCGGTCACTATCCGTTCACCACGATGTGATCTCCACCACCGTGAGTTCCTCGCCAATTCGCCTTCGTCACCCCCTACGATGTCCGACCACTTGAGTATGAACTCTTCCGTTGCCTCCCAACTTCTTGAGTCCCAGGGGGTTCCAGTATGTGCACCTGCAACGCCTCCCCAACAAGTCAAGTGATTAAGTGAATCATGGAAGAACTCATCCTCATCCATGTCCTTCATCTTCTCGATGATGTTGTCCCTGATATCCTTGAAGGGAATCACATCGATGAATGGATGGTGGTTAGCAACAACCTGCTTTCGTGTTGGGCGGAGATCGAAATGCAGGGTGCGGGATCCACGCTGGACAGATGTGATGATGGCTTCAGGATTAGGATCCGAGTCCACCTGGGCCCTGTAGAATGGTGAGATGGCATCGTCAGAACAGTACATCGATCTCGTTATCCCAAGTGAGAGACAGTTCTCGAGCATAGCGCTGATAATACATATGATGTCGATCTGAAGATTGTTTTTGTATGGATCTGGGATAACAGGAAGAAGGACCTCTCTGGAATGGTTGGGAATGTGAAGTGTAGGACAACCACAGTTGAAGAACAGCACCGGTGTTGTGTACTCATCGTATATGGGGTTTTCGGAAATCCATTGGTCGAAGTCTTCAAATATGAGGCTGGCACCCCACGTGCCTACATCCGTCGTCGCCTGTGATAGCGAGTTTCCGGTATCAGGATGGAGTGTTGAAGGATCGATAGTTTCAGCGTCTACGAGTATTTCACTGACAGGTGCTGAAGTAAGCCCTGCTACGGGATTCTCCACGTGAACGAGGGACCTGTCATTGCTTTCTTGTAATGCAGCTCCCTGCTCAGCTGCACGGCGCTCTAGCTCCTGTATGCGCTTCCGCTGCTTTTCCCCTGAAATGGATCATGTCAGCCACAAGCAGCAAAGTACCCAGGCGGCTTATTTAAGAGAAATTGGTTCCCATCCTGGTTCAACTCACGGTATGCCTGCTGAGCTAAGCGGTTCTGTAGACGCCTCTTCTCGGGATCGCGGCGGGTGACCTTCTTCTTGATGGCTGAGGGCCCCTTTTGAGTAGATAGGCTGGGATTCGTTGAGCACTGAGAGGCTCCGGAACGTTCTTGTCCCATTATTTTCCGATTGAAAATTATATATCACGAGACTTTTGATTGCGAAACACTGTTGAAAGAGTTGATCACTTCGAGCGAAGTGAAGTGAAGTGAAGTGAAGGCATCGCGAGGATTCATGTAAGCCACTGGTATGCCTCATGGCTGACGTGAGCCACTTGGTCCATATCAGTGTAATCTTATTGTCGCAAGCTGACTTACCCTATACCTTTCTTGATCCAATTGTTTCTTCAAGGCGGTTTCTGACCGTCAACTGTGGGTTGTATGGTAAGTATACTACTGCCAGTCCCCAATACATCTAGACCTATGGGTGTGTTGATATCCGATTTGACTAGGATAAAACTCTTTCGCTACATTTCGCGAATAATGTCGTCAGACTCCAGTCACGACAGATCTTTGCCTAACCTCTTCTTCTTTACTAGTCCGTCAATAATTTGACGGAGCTAGCCCACCAGTCGTGTCCTTCATTTTAAAGGCGCCAAAAGAAAGGTTCGACCGGCAAGAATATCGGAAATTCTTCAACAAATAGACACTATCATGCATCTACGCATCATTCGAAGCTAGTAATGATCAATAGCTTGCTCCAGGATTGGGCCGGACGAAACGCAGCGGGTGGTAGCCTATTAGCCTGACGCTAAATTGGTCGTCCCCTCTAAACCGCTGAAGAATCGGATTCAAACTCTCCGACATGTGGACTTTTGAGCGGCTTATTATAAATTTTCCCGTTCCTACCATCACAGGCTCTCATCCCACCGAGAACTGGTTGTTCCGTGGTGTCAACGGCTCCGACCTCTCGGCCGGCCGGTCTTGGATGGCTGAACGGGAATGTGGGGCCGGGCATGTGGCCTACCGAGCGCCGAGGTCCCGAGGTCATCATCCATAGCTCGAACTTCACAACTTCGTGACGGAGAACTCACAACGACGCCTAACACCACCCAATAACTCAAATAATATAGGAAAGGCATTAACAAGGAAAATGCCACTCGAGGTCATATACGTCACTCGTCACGGAGTAAGTTCCGATCAGCCTCGACTGTCCCGGCCATAGATTTCCCCGTTCTGGTATTGATGAACTGGCTCCGAGTATAGTTCCGTTCTGGATGGAGTGTCGATCCTCTCACTGGCGTGTACACCGGGTTCATACGATCGCCAACAGGCATCCCCGCGGACCCGGCCTTGACGTCTCACGGGGTCTCACAATCAGAAGAGATGGGTAAACATCTCATGACCCTGGATCCTCCCATCGATGCTGTATACTCAAGTCCGTATTATCGATGCCTGCAAACGATAACACCATTCATTGAGCTCAAGCAGCAGCAACTCAACGACCAACCAGGTATCCGAGGCTCCGCGGCCGCCAGAATACGCCCAGAACATGGAATAGGCGAGTTCTTTGGGGCAGCACCTTTCGACCATCCAGTCCCCGCCCCTTCCAAGCGACTCAAGGAGCTATTTCCAGCATTCGACGAGGACTATTCGTCTGCAATAACGCCCTCTAGAAAAGGCGAAACGATCAATGACCTATATGGGCGAGTTGCAGCAGCTGTACGGGCCATTATCGAGCGCTGCGACGCAGAGGGACACCGTGCTGTGGTATTATGCACACATGCTGCAGTCGTCATTACCCTGGGCCGTATCCTTACAGGACGTATCCCCAAGGCTGTCGAGGAAGAGGATTTCCACGCCTTTACATGTGGACTGAGCACGTACCGCCGGCGAGGCCCAGGCCCGAAGAGAACTACCACGTTGGGCCCCAGTAAGTTTGCTCGGTAGTGGATATCAAGTGACCAACATTGGCGGCGGGATATTGACAAACACATAAACATAGACGAATCTCGCCCACCCATAAGCGATCTTAGCCCAGTAGGGGAGTGGCAGTGCGAAATCGATAGCGATTGTGGTTTCTTGACGTCTGGAGAGGAGCGAGGCTGGTGAGTTAACAATACCCTCCATTCTCGCGACAAATACCGAATTAGTTATAGGCTGACCCAGAACGCAGGAAATTCTCTGGCGATGAATCGTTCCCAGGAACCGGCACGATGTCACAAGGTGGCATTGGGACCAAATTATAGTGTCGCTCATACGAGGAGCGTATCACCATATTGTCGAGTAATGAGAGCTCTATAACTTCGGGTCGTGAACTGGCAGATAGCAGCTACGTTCCCCAGTCTACAGTTCCAATAATGTACTCCGTACCAGCTGCAGAACTCCGGAACAAAGGATGTTTTTCTTTCTATAAAAAAAAAAGTGACACTATTTGAATCGTTTCAATTGCTCATAACATACAAAGTCAGGGTCCCAGTGCTAAACCCAAAGAGTTGATTTCTACCGAATACACCCTCGGAAACAAGCAATGACCAGAGCATGCCCGATGCAACAGCACGTGTTCAATTTGAATTGTGTTGGTTGTGTTCCCGTTGAGGATGCATATGAACGAGCCTACAAGGCTTCTTTATGCGTGAACCCCTGGTACTAAGTTCAACGTGCCTGCATCGCATCTGCGTGCAGTAGCCAGCTGGGCTTGGATTGTGTGACAGCACAACGGGGAGAGCGGTTTATCCTGTGGCTAGATACTTTGGGTCTCGTTGCAGCGACACATGGGACTGTTCAGTGCTCTGTGACTCGGTGACGACAAGTCGGCAACTAGGAAGAAACAACGAGTCAATCAAGATTGAGTCAATCGTAAAGCTCCCTTACATTGAGGTCAAGAAAAATCTGAACATTGCATCAAGATGCGGGCCAGACCCAAAATAAGAGGTGATAGCACACCCATGACGGATCATCCGACCCTTGCTCTGCTGAGCCCTTAGGTCAATCATCTTCGGAGACGAACATGCTAGGTAATAATGAGTTGCGTCACTGGAGAATACCTCGGCACTGTCGTAGCAACAGTACAAGGATCATCATCTGAGCGATTGTTCCTTTCAAGAATGGAGCTAGGAACACTGATCCTCAGCTCACATCGTCTCGATTAGCGTTTTGACTATAAACAACTAACAAGATCACTTTGGCAAATAATAAGCTGGTGTTGACGAACTGTACTGTAAACATTCAATGGCCCGTGTCATCCGTGTATCGCTCACATGCGAACTTGTGGAGAAGAGCAAGGATAGACTGGAGGAAGACTGACAAGGGCTCCAGTCCGGAAACACGAAGTAACGATATACGTGATGCATGTTTTATTAGGAGGTTCACAGCAATGACATGCCTTGCTTGTTTTGAGATTTTCTCCATCTTACACAGGGCAAGCAAGGAGGCTGGTGAGAAGCTCGCGTATAAGATCCGTGAGACGACGTTGCAGATGTACCCAATAATAAATGCAGATATCCTTCCCATGATAGTTCAACATAGCGAGGGAGTCAGGTGGTTAGGAGTCAAGAGCCAGGAGACAGACCCGGAATATGAATCAAATGAATGATCAAAATAACACTAAAAAATAATAATACAATCTCTCAATATGGTCGACTAAACCCACACAGGTTCCATACCCAAACCTCCTTTCATTACCTGCTACACCCAATTGGCAGACAATAGGTACGTAAGCACCTAATAAGGATATAAAGGTGGAGAGAGGGGAGGTGGGGCTTAAGGAGAAAAGAGGGAAGATGATACATAATTCAACTGATCGGTTCAATTATGGAATCAGGATATTTTCATACGTCCGATCGCCTCCAGCCTATGGGTCTTATAGGAGATGAGACGCTTAATAAGTTGGTTAAGGACCTCGTTAATCTGACAGCCGAGAGACAGATACCTAGGGTAGCTAAGTATATAAGATTGACGTTAGGTACTAGGTAGTATGTTGGTAGCGCGACAAACGCTAGACGCTTGGGTCATGTGCTTGATCTTTAGACTCAACACACCTCAAGGGCAAGTGCTTTCCATGTCGTACCTTTAAGGTACCTTAATGAATGAGGCTCAAGTCAACTTCACCTGACTGATATACAATGGAAGGAATGGAAGTCACGACTGCCCACGAAGGCGATGCCTCAGGTTTCAGCTGAAACAGAGTCCATCTTGTCTTGGCAAGTTGACCGATATTTCTCGTCAACCTCATACCCTCATCATCCTTGTTTCTCATCTGTCAGCTCTCACTTTCTTCAGCTCGCGACTGCAACAAAATCTCGACACCGCCCCAAAGCAACGAGAATCTTTCTGCAACGTTTGCCGTATCGGGTTTGGACAGGCGTGGCTGGCCACCCAGTGCGCAACCCCCATTCGATGTGTTGGCCATGGCATTAGTAGCAAAAAAGCAAACCCGTCATCTGTTGGTTACACAGCACATCTCCTTAAGCATCTCGTCTTAATGAGGAGCCGATGACGAACGCTTGCATGGTATTACAGACTTGCTGGGGACCATCACAGTAGCATGACGGGCGCCTCAGACGCTATTGCGCGCCTATACTGAGTTTAGCCCGACCTGATGGGAAGAAGCTATCGATCTGAAAATGCTGCTAGCTGCAAGGATCCGATTCGGATATACTGAAGAAATGATAATTGATACAACAGATAGATCATCTGTCAACTTTCGAAAAGCGAGAAAACGGTACATGTCTACGTGATCCAAACAGCGATCACCAATGCATATTCTATCGCCACGATCAAGATCAACAATGACTACCAGCAACAACTAACAGTGCTACAAAGAGTAACCAAGATTCATCTACACCATGGGTCCTCTGTTCCAGGCTTGCTTCCTCAACGCGACGGTCGCTCCCACGCGCCGCCAGCCCGCAAGATGATCCTGCATCGTCATCGCCAATACAAGACACAGCAAACAGTCGTCGCATGCCTTGAGATTGGACCTGCGTTGGCTGCGTAGTCTGCTGGTAATGAGTCGACTGCACCCAGGCGGAGCATGAGCTCCCACACACAAGATACTCGTCAAATATGACAGAATACCCTGCAGACTCCTTTGTGGCTTTCTAACCTTTGCTTCTTTCTTCTCATTAGAAAATGTACTCAATTGGATGTACACCGCTGCCTGTACTGTAATCAGACTC